TAACACAAGATTGATTTTTTTTACTGCAAGATCTTGTTTCTTGCAGTGAAGCTGGTTACAGCAAGAAGTGACAAGAAAAGTGTTCTTGCTTTCTTGCGCAAGAAAGATAGTTTCTTGTCACAAGAAAGTTTTCATATATTTTTCTTGTGCAAGAAAAATACTTTCTTGGGGCAAGAATGCACAAGAAACGATTCTTGGGCAAGAAATGTCACAAGATCTTGCATTCTTGCTTAACAAGAACATCGACTAGGGTAAGACACATTCTAAGAAATTCCGTATTTTGTTACAGTCTGTATTATTTGAGTTTAATTCTTTCAAATTGTCTTACACATTTCATTGTATTACAACCATACTTCTCACGTACGGTGATAATAATAGACTTTCTTTTGTTTATACGGTGAAAACGACGACTCACGAATCACGAAAGTCCTTCAAAGTCTTACTATTTAGTATCACTAAATCACATTTTTCACGGGCTTTCATTTGGTATAAAGTTCATCATATCTCCGATTTAGAATTATAGCGTTAGCCCCTTGAATAATATTATGGATTTATGCTATTGATTTATGCTGGAGAACCCGCCCTGATAGACAAGAGAAAGAGCCGTGTATGCTGGAGAGTAATAAGTGGCTGTGTCGTTTATGCTGGAGAGTGCTATATGGTTTTGCCATTTATGGTAGTAAACAATAGAGAACTCGCCCGGATAGAGAAATTCTGAAGATAAAGAGCCGTTTGCGCGGGAGAGTAATAACTGAATGCTAGTAAAAAGAGAAAACCCGAGAAGCCAAAAAGAGAAAAAGTAAAAAAGAGAAGACAACTTCTGAAGGAAAAGAAGCCTTTATTCTGTAGAGTAATAAATGGTGTATTGAATTAGGCAAGCGAAAAGCAAAAGGGTGTGCCAAGAAAGTTAGCACAGCTTTAAATTGGTAAATATATATAAATAAAGGTGTAAAAATATTTTTCATTTGGTTAGTATTTCAATGAATATGTTGGTGTTGTTCATTATACTTTGTTGAGAAACAGAAATGTCAGATCATGCTAAAAATTTCAGTGTTCAAAAGTACATTTTCTTCTTTGATTATACACTTTCTCCATTGTCGTAATGTTGTTACCATCACAAAAGAACTGTATTTGTTTGCAGACGATATAATCAAATTTAAATACAATAAGAAAACAAAGACAGCTACTAAGTGTAATCATAACACTCACGTAAGTAAAAATAATTTTCATCTTAAAGTCTTATTTTTTTAAATAATGCTTCACATCACTTCATATGAAGCATACGATTACGCCAACTTTCTTTTTCTTGCCAACAGAAGAGAATCAGCATTTCTTGCGTGCTTCTCTAATCTCTTTTTCTTCACAAAAGATGAGATCGATAAACTTACGTGCGGAAGCTTGAGTATGCAGTAGTAAACAGGACAGTCGAACTGAACCATATGTGCTAAATTTCCAGCAAGTTCCTGCAAAAAATGGGGATGACTTTAGCAGAATAAGACAAGATACTTCTCTAATCAAAATGGTAGCGAGAGACTGTCATGGCATCCCTCTCATCGGAAACAATTTTGATGATTGAGCTGAATATAGTGCATTATAAAGTGAAGTGTCTGGTGTGAAATAAAATCTTTTCAGCTTTCGCCGCCATTGCATGCAGGAGATATAATTCTTTTGAAGTCTGTCGCATCACGCTGAGAAAACTTCACCTTTTAAGTTTCAACACCTTTTTCTCTTCTCTTCGGTGCTAGTAAAGTTCTTGAAATAGTTAGCCTAGTAGAGTGCTCCTTACTATGACTAGAATACAGTCGAATATTGGAAACTGTAGGTGTGCATTTGCTTTTCTTGAATACATTGGACACCACTATTGCATTGAAAAAAACAGAAAATATCGTAATTCTTCATCTACAACTCAAGCTGCTGTTTTTAAGCGTTACTCATTTTAGTTACAAGATTTCGGATACTTTCATCAACTGCTAACGTCTTTGGGTGAGATGGTTGCAATGTCTTGAGTAAAATTGCTTCAGCTTTTTTGTAATGGACAAGAGCTGTTTTGTAATTCCCATTCATTTCATACATCCGCCCAAGATTATGATACCCAATTCCGACATGTGGATGATTACCACTGGCGTTTGATTCCTCTGATATGTCGACAAACTTTTGATAATGAATCATCGCAAATCCCCACTCCCCAAGAGCTTCGTGCACCGACGCGATATTATTATGCACTTTTCCCACAGACGGATGACCTTTCGGCAATATTCTGTCATAAATGTCTAGAACTTGACGATTTGTTGATAATGCAATGGCAAACTCTTTTTTGTCTGTAAAAACTAGTGCCAATTCACGGAGAGCAGCTGCGACTCGCATGTCATCAACAGTTGCTTGATTTCGGTAGATTGTGAGTGCTTTTTCCAAATGTGTTTGAGCCTCAATCGCATTGCCCAGGAGTCTCTTTAACATGCCGACACCACACAAACTATCGCCAACCAGAACGTTGCCTTCCGATAATTCTTGCTGACGAAGACAGAGCAATTTCTCGTAGTACATTAACGCTGAATCATACTCACGTCGATATGTGGCAGTTTTGGCACGATGTACTAGATCATCATCGTAGCTAATCTCACCTTTGGGTGCCATCTCATTTGTTGTGTTAGCTTTTAGATCCACCTTCTCACTTGGCAGTGGAATATCTTTGGCATGATGTACTAGATGATCATCGTAGCTAATCTCATCTTTCGGTGCCATCTCACTTGTTGTGTCAGCTTTTAAATCTACCTTCTCACTTGGCTGTGGAATAGGTGCAACACTGTTCTTTGCCGGTATACTGTTATTACAACCCATGCTTAATCACTCTCATTTGTTACCCAACTCATTTTTTGTACTGTTGTAAAATACAGGTGACTTTGTTTTTCACGATTACTGTTTTCTGAATGAAAAATAAAATATTAAACAAAGTAATTTCTTTTTCAAAAGTTTCTTGGTGAAACTAAATTAAAGAGTGCACGCGTGGAAGCAATTAAAGTGCATACGTTTTAGTCAAATAAAAAAGAAAAGGAGAAGAATATACGTCATGACAAAGTATTCTAATCAGGTCATGCCCAATACATTTTCAATGAGAAAAAAGAAAGCAACGTTAAATGTAAGACAAGTGGTTCGATAGAAAATTTTCTGCTCAACACTTTAGTTGATCTGTTGTTTTCCTAGAGTTCCATTTTGATCCTGAAAATTTACTTTTACCAACAGAGGGCGCAAAGTAAAGTTTTTTAAATTTGAATGACATCCAGCATTCATTTCAAGCATGTCATTTGAAAGAGCATACAAAACTGGATAAAACCATGTGTTTTTAGTCGAAGAAAAGTTAAGTCTAATATCCGCCAGCAGATTTTGACCCGTTTTTTGAGAAACAACTCAGAATAGTTTGACGAGTCAGACCAGGAATCGTAGGAACTTGTGAACGCTTTCTTTTTGTGCAGAAAAGCATGCTCTACAAAACTAGAATACGTTCAGAATTTTTGGATTCCGTTTCCAGATTGAAATTATAAGAACACTGAAAGTGCTGAAAGAAGAAAACTTTAAAAAGTAAAACGTTCGATATTAAACCTACCTTTTCTCAATTCATATGCAGGCAGTAAAGTACATGCAATCATCACTATCAAAAATTAAGACAACAACACCATGAACAAATAATTAGTTAAGCAATTGCTGCTATGGTATGAAATGAAGAACGTACAACAACCGTAGGAATAAAAAAATGTGCCTTAAAGTTAAATATTGGATTAAAGGCTTTTTAATAAAAAAGTAAAGTAAGCGAAAGTATGTCAATAAGAAAAAATAATATGTTGTTTATTTCATTGCATTTTTTCAGTGCTTATATATGTATTCGCTCTTTTATTAGAGTTCCTCAGATTTTTTCTTCTAACTATGACGATAGCAGGTCAAAGACGTGTAACGAAATTTTCAACAATATATAAGTATTTAAGTTGATAAATCTTTCACTTACATTCATCGATATCGAATAAGAGATTTATTTGCTTCTCGTTTTCTTTTATTATTATTCTCTAAGAAGGAGAGAGAGGATTAGAAAAACATTTGCTTTCTCAAATAATGCAGAGAAACACAATGAAGAGAACCTGTAAGCCTTAGGATAAGAGAACATCGTTTATACCAGTTATAGATTTAGGAATGATTCATTAATTATTACTCTGCATTACGTTACTGAGTAAATTAACAAAAATTTGTTAGTTGCGACTGGTAGCATAATGACAGTCTACTACTTTGCTATTTTATTAGAAGTAACAAGTAACACTATTGCCACTGGTAATAGTAATAGCATTAAGCCGCTCCTGCACTGTAAAAAATAAATAAGGTAAAAAGTGGCAATAAGCAGAAAAATGCAGAATCCACAATATTCCGTATCGTGATGTTTATTCTGAGATATTCGACCATATTGTGAACAAACGTTTAGCAGAATATTACGCATAGGCCACAATTTCGATAAAAATTATAAAACTGTTACAGCATTTTGCACGACTGTGAGACATAATGAGACTTCTACTAGAATATTGCTCACAATATGCTAGAATATCTCAGAATAAACATCACGATGCGGAACATTGTGGATCCTGAATTTTTCTGCCTTTTGCCACTTTTTACCTTAATTATTTTTTACAGCGTATACGGATGGTGTTCCAAAAATCACACTACTGGATAAAAAATTTGAATAATTCCGTCATATCTTAACCAAACTTCAAGATTGTTTTTTTGCTTGATAGAGCAATATTCTAAGTTTTATTTCATTTATTTGGAAAGTTTTGTATAAACAAAGCCAGTGCGAAACAAAAAACAACAAAACTTACGATATATGGTTTTTTTCTGTACCTACTTACAATAGTACGGAAACATTGTTGAGCTTCCCAGGTGTCGGATCCCGAAAGATCCGTTTCATTCCGACCATTTCCGGCTGTCCGACGTCTGACCGGATCAGGTGGGCGAATGCCGTTCAATTTCTGTTCCTTGCATTATATCCCAATGTCTGGAACTAAGGTGGATCCGATCATCGGATCCTGTGACCGGACTGTTCGAATATGATGGTCGGAAGTGAACGAATTCATCCACCTATAGGTCTTTCCTTTCTCTCTTTTCTTTTCTTTCCTTGCTCTGTACGGTGAATAAATTTACCAATTTGTTTCTCGGTGTTTTTAGTATAAATACGATGCTGTACAACATGAAACATGAGATTATTTTTCTGCAAGTTTTGGCACTGAACAGTGTGAGGCATCGACTCACTGCTGTTCGAAGACGCGTGACTCAGTCAGTCACACACGCCTTGGGCTAGTTCCAGAAACCGATTCAAAAAATAAATAGTAAACAAGAAGAAAGATATTTATGGCTAAATATTAGTTTTTAACGGCTACAGAAACTACCCGTAAATTCGATGCTATTTCTGGCGGTCGGATCCTTTCCATACAACTTCCGGTCGGAATCCGAGTAATAGGATTCCGACACAATCCACCACGGATCGGGACGAATTTTGTCGGAATCCCACCGGATCCTGAGTCAGGAATGAACGATCTGGGTTGTAATAATTGAATAGAATCTATTGGTAGCGCCACCTGTTATCACTACTCACATAAATCTTACTAAGGGTTAACTAACTTCCGGAGCACCATTTTATTTTAACGGAAAACTCAATTTTAATATCAACCTTCTCATCAGTTTATTCTGACTAGCTCGGACGGTCACCTCCACAATCTCATATATTCAAATGTTTTGTTCAATTTAAAGTTTTGTCAAAAGCAATTAATTTCTCTTTATTAAGGTGAGCTATAAATTCCGACTTCTCCAATAGCCTGACACAACCTTTCACAGCCTTCCTAACTGTTCTAGTTTGCAGGGCTCCCTTCTGTATATGAAATCCACTAGTAGTTGTTATATTAAATAATCATTTTGTTATGTGAAAGTGAACATCATCTACTTATTTTAATTTTTAAAAGTTATCTCATTATGAGAGAGCTGAAAAAATCGACTTTTTTGCGCCAGACGAATTGAAAACTGGAGAGGGGTATTTTCAAATTTGTTAACTTTTTAATCTGGGAAGTTGGTAGAATATAGGATAAACTTGCAGTGAGCACTGCTTCTTTCGAATATAGAATACTAGTGTGTGGCCATGATACGATGAGTCATCGAATCAAAAGCGGATTGCGGTTAGCACTAATGCACTTGGAAATCAAAAAAGTGATCCTCAAGCTAGCAAAATAAAAGGTAGTTTGAAATCTTCTTTAGGCTAAACTATATCGATTCGTAAAATGAGATCCTTCTGACCAGATCGATTTAAGTTGAAAAATAGAGTGGAATATTATCCACTATATACCGAAACACTGCAAAGGAGTCATCAGTAGAACACTAGTAACGGCAGTTGATTCAGAAAATGTCTGATAGTCGGCGCGAAAAAGTTTTCACTAATTAGAGAAGAGACGGAAAAGGAGATAGGACGTCTAATGATATGGATGCCCACGACGTGTTTTTCTTTGCGCCTAATGTTTAGCAGTGTTTCTAACAAAATTCATCCGCTGAGCGTACCAGTACGCCCTGTTTTTACCTGCAAAGCGTAAACGTTTCAAATCTAAAATAGAAAGCATCAGTTAGGCATCAGACATTTTCTGTATTTCAAACAACAGAATGACTCACTAGTTAAACAAGTTTTTCTTATTTTCTCTTAAATATAAAAAAATGTTCGATTAGAAAACAGAACGTCTGTACGCTGTGCTTTTCTCAACAAAATGTAAAACAGCGTATTTGTAAATTCTGAAGCGTATGCACACTTTGATATAGTGAGTATCCTTTGCTATTAGAAACACTGATGCTTAGTTAACTGCCCTATTCTATGATTCTCAGAATCAAGACTAAGACTGTAATAAATGACTCAAGCCAAACAACACAAAAAGAGTGATAAAAAATAACAAAATAAACAAGACAACTAAGCTTAGAACCAGAAGTAGTAAAAAAAGAACAAATTTTTGAGAAAAGAAAAAAAGAAATAAGCAAAAAAGCACAAATATGAACGTAACTGACAAATGTTTCACTGGAAGAGATACTGACATAAAGCTGTTTTGAAAGACGTTAAAGAAGAAAGACAGCCAGAGTTCCCTGATGATCCGCAACAACGCGTCAACTAAAATCGAGACTTACATTTCTGTTTGTTGATCTCTTGCGTTTTATTGAATAAAACCACAGAGTGTTAGATAAAACATTTTTTAGACTCTCTGTGCGTGAAAACAGCTGAAGTTAGACCATCAAATTGCGTTTCCGCTTTTTTTCCGCATTTCCACCCTGAATATCTGGGAACTCTGGACATAGCATCAAATCAACGCTGTTCGATGTTACCATGTGTACTATGATGAAGCCAGATGTTATTCAAGGTGGAAGAAGACGATAATCAGAAACAAGCAATGACAAGAATACGATGAATTTTTACGGACACCGCTGAACAAATGGACTTTTCTTTTCTGAAACACTAAAAGATGTAACTGGTGTTTTCCTTATTAGTGTAGTTTTTTTTTTTTTTTTGTTTTATGTGAGTGGTAGGCAATTACTGGATTGAAGTTGTAAATAAATCTTATGGTTATCCATACACTTTGCCATAAAAAACAGAGTACGAACGTGCATTCTGCGCTCCGAAATAGCATGTACATGTACCTTCTTTGGGTAGAACTCTCATTAGGAATGCTACTGTACGGGACGGGACGGTACGTTCTTGACTTTCTGTAATCATTCATGACAGTTTTGTGATCATACTGATGCAGAGTATTGAACATACTTATTCATCGCCATTCCAATGTCGT